GTTGGGGTTTTCGAGGTGAGGGAAGGGTTTTTAATGGAGTTTCGGTGAGAGAGGGAGGGGGTTTCGGGGATGGGGTGGTGGTTTAGTGGGGATTGGCGACGGCTGGGAAGGCCTGCACGCCGGCGAGGGTGGTTCTGGGCGTCGGCGGGTGTGGGGTTGGTGGTGGCAGGGAGGAAGGGTGGTAGTTGATGGTGGCTGGCTTTTTTTTTTTAATTTATTTATTTTATTTTTTAAATTAATTTATTTTTTTAAAAAAAAATCAAAAGGTTAACCATTTTAGCTAAAAAGGTTAGCCATAAACCTAAAAAAGGTCACTATGTATATTTTTCTAAACCTTGGTGCCACTGAAGAGAGTTGGAAAAAAGTTCGTCTTCCACGTAGAATTTTTAAAACCACGAGGCCACCAAATAGAATATCCCAATTAGTTTTAAACTTTTAATCATCAAAAATATAATTTTAACATAATATAATCACTATATATTTAAGTAACTTTACTAGCACCTTTTTAAGCCCTAAAACCATGAAAATTAAGTTTTAATATCTTATTTTCTTAATTAAATAAATTTGAAATTTTAGTCACTAAATTAAACATAGTATAATTTATAAATTTGTAGTCTTTTATGATTCATATACATAATCAAACCATAATAATAACAATTATAAACAAAAACTTATTAAAGATTGAAACTTGAAATAATCAAAACAAAATAAAATAAAAAAAAGAAAGAAGAAAGGAGAGAGAAGGGGGCCAACTGGTGTGTTGTACGGTGGTGGAGTGGTCGCCGGAGGCAGCTGGGTGGCACCGGTGGTGGGTTGGCGTCGGTGGCAGCAAGGTAAGCAGCGATTTTTTTTATTTATTTATTGTGAAAAGCAAGAAGGGGGAAAACAGTGGGAAGAGAAATAACGTGAGTGAGGAGGGGAAATTTGAGGGGTTTTGGGGTTTTAAAATGAGCATGTAGGCTTGGTTTCTCAACTTAAGTGGGAGTAGGAATTTTAATTATGTGGCTGATTTTATACTTGGGATTTTACTCTAAATATGAACAGTAGTATATATGACCTTCCTTATAGTACTACGTATCATCAATTTTTGCAAAATAAGTTTTGTGTTAAATATGGAAGAGAAATTAGGGAGAGAATAAATCAGTCTCTATTATTCCATAGAGTGGGGATATATATACATACAATATAACTAGGGTTTGCTTAGATAACTATAAACCCTAGATCTAGAATATTCCGGAATGATACAAGGAGGATAATGGATATCCACAAATATTTCATAAGGATGTCCATTATCGAAGAGTGTGCCTCGTTAAAACCTTATTAGGAAAAACCCTGTGGGATAAAAACCTAATGAAGGAAAAAGTGTACAACATTCTTCGTAATACGCTCGAGATGCCGCCTCATTAAAAACCTTAGCAGAAAAACCCAATGTGGGACAAAACCATGGTCAAGGGAAAAAGAGTGCAGCGCGTATTTTCTCCCCCTGAGGAATACATAACCTGAGATCTTCTAGTGCCGCAACAATGAATCCAATATAGTTGGATATCTTCTAATATGTAGTAAACTATCATTCATTGGTCTTTGATCCTCCTAAATTGAAATTGCATCTTCAAGTCTTCAAGTGAACATGTGAAGTGTCTTCATTTCACCATACATGTATTTATCTAATTATCTCTACATCATTCCAAACCTCTGTTTGAATAAAGTTACCTTAAAAGTTAAACTTATGCGGTTAGGCCTTCTTTTGGAGGTTGTGAATAATAGAAATCGATGATCATTATTTGATCAAACATTCATTAATAGTAATTTGATGACAAAACTTGATATTATTAATGTCGTTCTTCAATCTCATCTGAATTATAATATAACACATGTAATTAGATACGCTAATCATGTTTCTTCTAGATCATAAGAAAACATTCTCACACATAAGTATTCCATTGATATTCTTTAGACGTTTCATAATTGACACGATAGCTCCCTTGCAATTACAAAAGCAAATCTCACTAACTTTCATATGCTCAAACTTCAGGTTGAAATGTCAATGATGTAGTCACATAGACTTTTCATGAGTTTGATAATAATTGCAATATTCAAGATATAAAATTTGTAGGGCTATAAATAGGTTGCATATAAGTTCTTCAGGAACTTTTCTTACATGATTCATAAATAATATTAGATCAACGTCATATATAATTTCATCATAATTATAAGCCCGTTGGAATATAAATATGTCTTTCTAATTTTCCATCAAAGTTGTAAATATGTCTTACTATACTTTGAATGAACGTGCACATACACCACAAATGTTGTATAGAAACTAATGCATGCAATATGAGATATATAAAACATGATAACATATTAAGCAAAATATACAATAAGTAATGCATCTAACAACTAGTGACATATGCGATGAAAAACCCGTTAACCTATGACTCATACATGCATATAAACATACATAGGATTCAAAATAATGCAAGACACTGTACAGTGTGGATTTAAAAATCCATATTTCATTGGACTTCTGGTCCATGATAAACTTTTGATCATTATCATTATGTCGACATCAAAATGGACATATATATTTCAGATCCCTTATTCACTAGTCCATTCTATCATGCACATGCATATTATTTATCGGTTCCCTTGTGTACCGGTATCATAATATTCCTTTAACATACATTTCGCATGCTATTTTACTATGATATCTGAATACATTTCTTATTGGTACCATCATAACTTCCTTACATCATAGGCCATCTATTGTAATAGTTCAGATATCTATACCACTTTTAGGGTATTTCATACACTATGGTATTTATATACTATTACGCTATTAGTATTAACTGCACTATCTTTCCATATATCATATCCATTAGAGATATCTTTATTTTGGAACCGATCATACAACCTACACTTCATGTGTAGTGATTCAAGTATAATTGGCAAGATTTTATCTCAATGTATACACATAATATGACCAAAAAGTATCTTCAACGCTATGCAACATGAGTCATAACTAAATACAAATCAAATCATAAATGTGCAACATATCTTGATAATATATAGACAAAAGTTGGCATATAACTTTTCAAACTGCCTTTATAGAGATCATCAATTATATTTTCCGATTTTTCCAACTTTTGCTAATTCTTCTCCCCCTAAGTTGGTAAAATATCTCATTTATAGGGGCGTCTAATTCTATACCAACTTAGTATACAAATTTGCATTAAAATTCTTTTCATCGAGAGGATCACAATCAAAATAATTATCTCAGAAGATTTGTATTAAACAAGTTTTATCTCTTCTAGAGAACAATTTCAATGAAGAATCATTTCTTCATTAACTTTACATTGCATTTATATTTATTGTTACACTTTCCATAATATGTTCTCTTCTGGAGATCAATATTAATGGGGAGACATGTGTTGTGCATTTGTACGTTTTTCTTTCTTTTCCAATTTCTTATGTGTTGACATATAATAGCCCCAATCAAAAGAATTATTATACAAGCATAAATCACTTGCTTAATTGGAATTCTGCTAGGTAGTGATCTTCGAGATCTTTAAAGATTTAAATAGTGTATTTGGTGAGATTATGGTCACCTAATAGTTGACAATAACATATTTGTTATTCTGGTGAACTTCTGGTCACCCATTACTCTTGACATTTTCATCAATACAAATTATTATAAATCACTATTCAATAATAGCTCAATCTCAATATTATGTCTTTCCATTTAACTCATTTCATATATGCAACATTGAGAGAACGTCAGCACATTATCAAATGAAACTTTAAGTTTCCATAACGGGTAATTATTAAACTCGGATGGCCTAATTTAATTATCACATCCAGTCACTTCTCTAAATTGGAACTCTGGTCAGTATTCCAACACTAGTGATCACTTTATTAAAATTACTTTATGCATGGCCATGAATATGATGTGATATTAGAACACCAACATGTGTTTCTTTATATAATTGGCAAGACAATCAACTAATATTTGATCCAAAATTTTATACTCTGCTGGAGCTTTGACTATAATCTTGATACATGCTAAGCTTGTTGGACATTCTATACTCTTCTAGAGTACTCTATATAATCATGGTACATATCCATTTTACTAAATATAATCTCTTATAAAGACCTATCAAAATGCATTACTTCCTCAATTTGCTATTGTCAATAATTGCTATTTTTCTGTTGAAGATTCTTAGCTTTGAAATCTATTGGGCTCGGCTACGGCTACCACGCTTTAGGCGTGCTTTAGGTTCATCAATAATTGATGTTGTCCTTCTGGGACATTAATTTCAATTAGAGCATTTACAGTTGGTATATAGCTAATAACATCTATTCATATCCATATTCAGGATGGTATCATTTTGAAATATATTAATTAACATGTGGCCACTTTTATTAAATAAAACGTTAATATTTAAGTTAATGTATGTACCAAACTGACCATCAATATATTTTTATTATTTATGTGCAAGGATTACATAAAAATAATGGAATAAATACTATCTCCCCCTAATCCTTGCATGTGGGGGCATTAAATTAATCCAACTACCTTTAAATCTCTTACACCTTTTAAGCCATAAATTCTCTTATCAATGCATGTATCAAACAAAGTAAAATGATTCTTATAAAACTCATATTCGTTCCTCTTGCCCAATTATATGAATCTTTATACTAAAAATTCTCAAATTAATATTCTAAAATAAGATTCACTAAACCAAATAACTTAAATTAATAAATGACTGATAATAATAACAATGAAATATCCGAAAACATAAAAATATCCAAAAACATAAAATTATCCAAAAACAAATGTCCCATAAAGCATAAAATCATAGTACTACGATAAAATTCTATAATAAATGCAAGCTAATTAATAGAGTTTATTCGCCAATGGATCATAATTTATTCAATTATTTTCTTCAGGATTAGGAAAGAAATCAGCTGCTTCCAGGTGAGTTTTATCACCGTAATCAAAATCACCTTCGCCATCCTCGTACACCAAATTTGTTTCCACTTTCTTTCCTTTCTGTTTGATTGATTGTTGATAGAGGTCTACTAGATGTTTTGGTTTGCGACACACACGAGACCAATGGCCTTTTCCTCCACCGGTAGCATATATTTTCATTTTTATCCTTCTCATTCTTATTTCCATCTTTATTGTCCCACTTCTGGTGAGAGTATGAGTTCCTAAAATGGCCACCTCGACCACGATCATGTCCACGTCCGCGGCCGTGACCATGACCTCGACCACGACTGCTGGTGTGATCTCTAGCCTTTTGCTCTTTCCCACTATGGGATGTCGCATTCGCTTCAGGGAATGGAGTAGAGCCAGAGCCAGTTGGGCGTGATCCATGATTTTTCATTAATAGTTCATTATTTTTCTCAGCCACAAGGAGACAAGATATCAATTCAGAATATTTTGTAAAACCCTTTTCACGGTATTGTGTCTGCAGGACAACATTGTTTGCATGAAAAGTAGAGTATGTTTTTTTCTAACATTTCTGCATCCATGATTTTCTCTCCACATAATTTCAATTGTGATGTAATTCTAAAAATGGGTGAGTTGTATTCACTCACAGACTTAAAGTCTTGTAATCTTAAATGTAACTAGTCATAACGAGCTTTTGGTAATATCACAGTTTTCTGGTGGTCATACCTTTCCTTTAGATTACTCCAAAGGACTTGTGGGTCTATAACAGTCAAGTACTCAGTCTTAAGGCATTCATGAAGGTGATGGCGAAGGAATATCATAGCTTTAGCCTTATTTTGGCTTGTTGCAGTGTTGTATTCTTTAATAGTATCACCAAGTCACTTTGCATCTAAATGTATTTCAGCATCTAACACCCAAGATAGTTGTTTCCAGTAATATCAAGAGCAACAAATTCGAGTGTTGCAAGGTTTGACATAATTCACTGATATATAAAACAATATTATAAATTAGGACCTAAGGTGGTATAATGAATATATATATATATATATATATATATATATATATATATATATATATATATATATATATATATATATATATTATTTCAAGTAATTAATTATAACAATATTTGCGTATTGAACCTTGAGAAGGTTATTGTTCACGAGACCACAATTAAGTCCACTAATCAATTATCATAACAAAACATAAACCTCAATAAATTTTATTAAGGAAATAATAAATCTTTCATGGAAAGAATCTCAAAAGAAAAATACATTACAAAACCAATCACAACTTGTAATTAACTCCAATAATTCATCTAAACTCAACATAATACTATTCTCTTATCAAAGAAATTACTAACCACACATCAATAATTTGAGAACCCAAAAAAATCATCGTTGAAAAGCATATTCTCAATTGTATTTATTATAAATTATGTTTATCTTCTTCCATTTTCTCTCTCCTCTATCTTAAACATTGACTCATTGAGTACAAAGCTAATCCTCCAAAAAGGAGTCCATTGTTAATAAGGTAAGTAATACTCGAATTTCATTAGTTTCAACGATTAATGGATACGAGAAAGAAGTAGACCAAAAATATCAATAAGCAAACCATTCACCATTCCACCAATACGACAATGTCTGCAATACAGAAGCTCACACAATCACTGAGCAAACTAACAAATATATTTATCCTTCCAAAAGGTCTACAGTGGAGAAGTTTATACGGAGCAATCTATTTTCCTCATGAACTGAAGCCTAAAACCAGGTAATCTACACTTACGATTAAACTTATACTATGAACTGATAATGTTGAAGGAGCAATTTATGTTTAAAAAATCCTATTTTCGCAATCTTTACATAAGTCAAATTTCATTGATTATCAAATTTTATTTCTAATTTCTGCATTATTTTTCTTGAATTACAGCAAATACAGAAACTAAGATCTTGATTTCTAGCTACTCAAGTATCTAATTCGACTTAATCAATCTATATGAACTCAATACATCATAATTTATCATCAAGAATTCAAGATATAAATCTATAAACAAATTAACAAAACAAATAGTATGTAAAATATAAGAAATTAAGAGGTAAAAATTCAGTGATTCACCTATAAAGCCCCAGAATATTTTATGGGTGGATGACGGAGCAGTGGAGCACCGAGCACGGGAGGCCGGAGCGGTGAACGGTGGCAGCAGGCAGCTTACGCTATTGAGTCCTCTCCGACGTACGGCTGACCGACGGTGGCAGCAGGGATCGGTGGTATCGGCAGAGCAATGGTCTGTTTGGGAAATTATTTTTCTGGTTGATGTTCGTGAAATCAAGAGGTAGTAGTATTAGGGAAACGTTTGAGAGTATGTTGGGAGTTACTTTGATTGTCGTTCGAGATAAGTCAATTTATGATGCTTCAATTGATATTGAAATCAATGAGAGCAATGGTGCTGAATTAGGAATAGAATAAATCAGTCTCTATTATTCCATAGAGTGGGGATATATATACATACAATATAACTAGGGTTTGTTTAGATAACAATAAACCCGATCTAGAATATTCCGGAATGATACAAGGAGGATAATGGATATCCACAAATATTTCATAACATTTTGCTAGATTATTTAACAAAAGCTTTGAATATTTAAAATACCTATATTTTTTTAATCCTTTTTCTCTATTAATATGAATAGTTGTAGTATCTATTTTTAAAATAGTGCTTATTTTACTCTAAATGAGGTAATACTTGTTTTGTTTTCTAAAAGTAAGTTTATATTTGTTTTATCAAAGGTTTTAAATTAGTAAATTACTAATGAGTATTATTATTACGGGTATGGTTGAGAGTGATGGCAATAAGGAATTAATGATGGAGGCTAAATAGTTCGGATGATGATTATTGGAGAATAAGTGAGATGATTAAGGATGATCGAAAGAGGTAACTATTATGTCTAGCAACTATGTTTAGTCCCGTATGTGTGATATGCTTTTATGATATGATTAACATATTATGGTTTAAAAGCATGTTATGTGCAAAAGATATGATATATGATCCCACCCTCATATAGATAACGTAAACATGGTCTAGTATGAAAGCATGTTTATTGACTATTGCTATTGCTAGTACCTGCAGTTCCTTTCGAAATGTGTTTATTAAAGTATGATGTCACATTTAAAAGTATTTATATCTTTGGATATATTTTAATGACTTGCATTTATTGATGTATTTCAGTCATATGATTTTATATGAATGATTTTACAAATATACGATATTCTATTGATCTTTGAATCTCACAAAAATATGTTAATAATCTATAAATAACTTATTAAAAGTTATACAACATGATAAATAATAGTGAAAGACCTAATCCGTCTGGTACTATTCGGTCATGCAATGCATGCACCCATGATAAATATGTCGAGCACCTGCTCTATGTTATGGGCACCTGCCCATCACGGAAGACGTTCCGCCATGTTATACTGTCCAGCGACTAGCATGTCCATTAAAAAGGTTATGAATACATGAATTCTATTAAAGGACTTACGAGAACTCACAAGGATACTGTATTGATGAGTTTTACGATATACTGATATGTACGATCGTTTATAAAGATGTCTTACTATTTTACAAGGTGCTATGAATGACTGGTGTTTCTAGTTATTTTATTAATTTATAAGATATGTGAATGTGATTTGTTATGCCCCTGTTAAATGTTTAACAGTGATTATTTTATTACAACGTTATGGAAATGTGCTAGTGTACTATGCATTTGTATGAGGTATAAATTTGTTTAGAAATGATTTAATATGATACGATGTTATTTTTTATCGGCATTGGAAAATGAACTGAACGTGGTAAAGGTGAGTTACAGGTGGAGGAAAGTATGTTAATGAAATGGGGAATTAATCCCACACGAATGAAAGTTATGTTATGTCCAAAACCTGTACTTACTGATGGTCCTATGTAAAAGGAATGATCCTTGCCGACACAAGTTTAAAGATAATGATACTAAATTATATCTAAACAACTATGTATATATGACATGTGCTTAAATGATTTTGAAAGAAAAGCTATTTTACGGGCTAAAGTAATGTTAGTGAGTTTTCCACTCATTTTTGGAATATCCTTTGTTTTCTCTGTTTTCTATTTTTATGGATATTTACAGGAATGATGATGTTGGAGCTCGAGTTAGTCAAAGGCAAAGTGATTGATGAAAATAATATTATTGAGGGATTACGGAATCAGAACCAAGAGTTTATGTATCATGGATAATGTTCTATCGAGAGATAGATTAATTTTATTTCTGGAAGTTGTATCATTTTAAAGGAATGTTTCTGATTAAGGAGTATGTTTATTTGTGGGCCCAGGCCATAACCCATAGGTTATGAGATTATCTACTATTAATTCCGCTGCGAATGACGAGTTAAGTATAGTTTAGTAACACAAATTAAGGTTAGAGAAGTCGGGGCGTTACAGCTTGAATAGGAGTTTAAGCTTTTTTTACTTAAAATTGGGCTACTAAGCTATTGACAAAGTATGTTGGTGACTTAAAAGAGAATTTTAAATTAAACAAATGCTTATTAGTTTAACAGAATTCAATTAAATTTTTACATAAAATAATTTATACAATAGAATCGAAATAAAATATTTGTATAAATAATAAAGAAAAATATTATAGTTTACTTTACAAAAATATGGGAGATTACAAAATATTTAGAAAACTAAAATTTTAAATTTTGATATTTGAAAATGAACCCTTGAATTATTTTTTGGAGATATTAATTTTAGAAGAGAAAATTATTATGAGAATTCAGTATATACACGCTCTTTACAAAACAATGTTATGTCATTTTCTATATATATCCATGATCTTTACAATTTAAATAATGTTTTTTCAGCTATTTTTTTGATCGAGTGCACCATGCCCTTGGTGCACCTGAGATCAAGAGGGTGCACCATACGATTCTTTATATAAAACCTCTAAGACCATTAGCGATTCTATATAATTTGGTTTTACCATTAGCGGTTCTATGCATAGAACCTCTAATAGTATTAGCAATTCTATATATAGAACCGACAACATTGTTAGCGGTTTTACATTGCCAAATTCCAAACTTGTGAACCGATCCTACGTGGACGGTATCGTGAGAAATTATTTTTAAACCGACTTATATAAGGAATTAATTTTAGCATTATTTTGAAAAATCGCTCGTTTCTAAATTAATTGGAGGTGAGATCGTTTTTAGAAGGCATAGCAAGAAACCCATTAATAACATTAACAAAATTAATGTCTGCTTTTACAAAAACTGTAAAATAAATTTTTTTTAAAAAAAAAAAAAAAGAAAAATCACAAAGAAGAAAGGAGAAAAACTCAACCCTTCTCAAAGAATCCCTCCCCAAAAACCAAAAATTACACAATCCCTCTCTTTCTCTCTCCTCCCAAAAACCCCCATTTTCTCTCTCTATCTCTTCATCCTCTCATTTCTTTAGGAGGGAGAATCAAAATTGTTCGTCACTTTCAAATCGGCGAATTTCTCAACTGATTTAGGGTTTTCATTTTCATCGATTCGCTCTTCTCTAGTTGTTGGTTATGGAACCTTGATTTTCTGCGATGAACCATGCAATTCTGAGATTTTAGCTTCTTTTTCAAGGTTTTAGTGGAAAATTTAGGGTTTAATTTTTCGATTTTTTTCAACTGCATTTTTTTTTTTTTGGTTTTGCTGGATTTTTAGTGTGATTTTTGGTTGAAATTGTTTCGATCTTCGGATGGATTCGCGAGATTCAACTTCGTCTTCTTCGATTAATGTGGCTAGAGAAGGTTCCGATGACGACGGTGTTCTTTCGGCCACTGCTTTGCTCGCTAAAGAAGCTTTTGCCTTGTTTCAATCTGATAAGTTTTCGGAATGTGTTGATGTGCTCAATCAATTGTTGCAGAAGAAGGAAGGTGATCCAAAGGTATATTTTTGATTACTTCGTATTAATTTTTGTTTATAATCACTGTTTTAGTTTGTAATTCATTTGTATTTTAGTTCGTAATTCATTTGTGTTTTTGTTCGTAATTCATTTGTGTTTTAGTTCGTAATTCATCTTGGAGGCAGTTTTTGCATTGAATTAAATTTATAGTTATACTCATGTTTGTTTCCGAAATCGAGTTTTTAGCTCGTGAAGTTCACTAGTTTAGTTGTCATTCATTCGAAACATTTGGATAAGTCACTTTCATTTGACTCATAACTCATATTGGTGGTAGTTCTTATACTGAATTAATAGCTTGAATGGATCTATACTTATTTTTAACTTGTAAAATTTACTGGTTTCCCCATCATTTGATTTCAATTGCTCTATTTGGATAGATTGGAGAGATAATGTAGTTTATCTGTTAATATTTACTTAGTATGCGAGAATGGGTATGTAAGGAAGTTGCTTTGGAGTGTGGATGTGTGCACTTTGGTTCACTACTTATGCTTATGGTAGCAAGATGATGTAGTTACTTCCACATCATTTATTTTTGATAGGGCATAGTAATTTGCTTTGGTGAGGACATGTATTAATGTTGACAGGATTAGTTCTGTGTGTATATTTGTTTTGAAGTCTGGTGAATTGTTTTCATGCTTTCTGAGAATTCTGATTGTCTGAGTGAGGCTCTCTCAGTTGAATTCTAGAGCTTGAGAGATTGGAGCTTTTAGCGAGTAATTGCTGGTGAAACAGATTGGAGGATCAGAATTCAAATTACTTTTAATTTGGTAGTAGATTATGTTCCGAGTGGATATGCACGGGTTGGAGTTTCTTATCTTGCGTTTTAAGTTCTAGTGAGGGACAATTGATTCCATTTTTTATAAGGTGAATTTTATCAACTAATGATGATTGGTTTGTTTTTATGGTGGATATGCAAGATGATTGCTTCATTCTGAGATCTTGAGGAATAATTATACCTTGAAATTTTCCAATCTAAGATGCAAGACAATTAGCCAATTGTGTGCCTTTTGCTAGTGGAAGTGTGTGTGATTGTGGCACAAGTGGATTTAAAGTGGTAATCATGGAGTTTGAATAGTAGTGTTAAGCCTTATTCTCATCTTGAGAAATTGCTGGTTGCTCTTTTCATTATCTCTATTTTTTTTTTTCTCTTTGTATATTTCAGAAGAAACTGCTTATGTGATATTTCATGTCAAGTTCATATCAATAGTTATACAATAAATTGTACACTGCATATTTTATTAAATTGTTCAAGTATTAGATTCATGTTTGGAATCTGATTATACAAGTTACTTGAAGAGTTTCTTTTCACTGTGTTGATGCTAAACTATGAGTGTATAATATCTGGCTTGATTAATTTGTAGATCATAGACGATGTCTGTTTTTTCTTTCCATGGTTGTTTGTTCATGTGCAAGTTATGTTTACAGATTTCGCATAATATTGCGGTGGCAAAATTTTTGCGTGATGGATGTTCCGATCCAAAGAAATTGGTTGAAGTGCTTGTCAATGTTAAGGTATGGAATATGATCTTAGTATTTTGTTTCATGTTGCATGGGAGTGATGCGACTGTTCTTATAATATAGCTGCTCGTTTTCTCTTGTTTGATAATATGTAATATGAAGTCGAATTAAGTGTAGTTGGAAGAAATAAAAGGAGAATAATCCATTTGGCCTTTTAGCAATATGCTGGTTGAAAATTTCTTCCAATTCTCTCAAGTGTGTTGAATTTTTTTGTGGCACTTTTTGTTTGACAATTACTGTTGGCAAAGTGAAATATGGAAATGTTGTAGTAAAAGCATGCCACGATTTAGTTATAGTACTGCAGTTCACAATAGTTAGGCAATTGGTCTAGTTAAAATTAAATTTGTCGCGGATTTGTTACAAAATTGAATTATTAGTCTCATAATGGATTTATTGTACCCTAATGGAATTTTGTACTTCTTCCATTTTACAATCTATATTTTATTTGAAACGATAAGCTGGGATTTGAGAAAACTCTATATTTTCCAGAGGAAAAGTGAAGATCTTGCACGTGCATCCCGAGAGCAAACAGATGCTGCTTCCCAAGCTGCTAATAAAGCCATTTCTGGAGCCAAAGGAACTAACAATTTGGCGAACAGCCCCAGTAAAGTTTTCACAGATGAATTTGATTCATCTGTGGCAGCGCTAAACATTGTATGTATTAAGTAGTATCTCACATTCACAATGTTGGATTTTATTTATGCTTTGCCTTCTTTTAATTATTTGGGACTTGGGTAGAGATTTAGTTTGTCTGTTTGTTTAATTGTGATTGCAGGCAACTGTCCTATTCCACCTTCACGAGTATTCAAAGGCATTGTCGGTTTTGGAGCCACTGTTTCAGAATATTGAACCCATAGATGAGGTAAGTTTATGTCTTTTTATATACTATGAGGTAAATCTGTCTTTTATTTTTATTTTTTTTTATTTTTTTTACATATGCAAATATGTATCTTTCTGATTCCTTTTCTATGCTTTTGAATTGTTAAAGCACAGACTACAGCTCTTCATGTTTGCCTCTTGTTGCTGGATGTTGCTTTTGTGACTCAAGAGGCATCTAAATTTGCGGTAAGTTTGTTAACTGTGAATTAGTTGAATTACTGTTGATTTTAATTGATACCATTGTTGTATAGCATACTCATCAAATTACTAATTCCGTTCCATATTTCTTTTTACATGTAGTTTTCTTGTTTATTGTTGCCTAACATCCACCTTTTGTCATCACATCTCGGTTTCTTGTTGGGGAGTATCTTTCTGTTCCCAACTGGATCAATTGGTTGGTTGTAGATTTTAATGAGATATGTTGAGTAATAAAGAATAAGATTCATGATGACATCTCTAGAGGGTTTTGTAAATCATTTGGATTTTGATATATTGGTCTTCAAAAGGGTTTGTGTTTATTTTGGTTGATTTTTTATTTTTAGATACAGCAGTCAATGTTTAGTTTGTTTGTGCTGCTATATGAGCACATATATGACATAAGTTGAATCAAATTTGAAACTATTTGTTCGGCTCAATTAGTTTCTGCCGTGAATTAACCTTCAGAGGAAGCAGTTTTGTTTGTGTGCTGCTGTTTGACAACACATATTTTCTTTTAACCTGTGGTGGAAAATGCAAACTTTTCCCTATTGTATTTGCGGAGAATTACTTTGGAGGAAGAAGTAATGCTGCCACAAAGCCACAATTGTAATATGTAGTGTCACCCATGAAACAGGAATACATGCGGTGGTTGGTTGGTTGAAGAATTTAGAACTTGAAAGTGCAGTTGTGTTGCATCCTGGTGTTAATTAGGTGCAAAATTTTTTATGGGCACTTCTTACCGTTGAACAATTTTTTATTTTTTAATTTTTATTAAGCCATAAATTGTGGAAGATTGCATGTCCCTCAATATAAGGGAACTATCCACTGCTTTCTGGCTCTGGTTATATCTTTCCCTCATCCAATCCAAGGCTATGGTTGTTGAAGACTGTTCTGTTTTGAGAAAACATAGAGGATTGGCCTTATGATTCTATCATCCTAGCACCAGAGATAGCTCTAATATTTTTCTATGGGAAAAGGTTGACTATTAGGTGTAGGGGAGGATATAGTCTGAAATGTGGACTGTTTATGTTTCTGGATTTCATTTTGTGCTCTTCATGAACCTAGTTTTAGATTTTTTTTTTTTTTTTTTTTTTTTTTTTTTTGTTTGTGCCTATAGAGTCAAAAGTTGTTGGTGTGTAGTTGTATTAGATAGGGATATACCTGAGATTGGAATACTGTTAGTTGTAGGGGAGAGCTGAGCATGTTTGTTGAAAAATGTGTACTGTTCATGTTTCTGGTAGCAGACTGGCTGTTGGGATTGATGTGATTTTATGTTTGATTGTGCATAAGAAAAGTGTTGTCAAGTAGTTGTGATAGATGACCCATAGCATTGATGGTAGACGAACTTCGTTCAATTATATTGGTTTGTCAGCCTCTGGCCCTCTGTCTTTTAAACACTGTTTTATTGACTTTCTTTTGTTCTATGATTTTCCTTTCCGACAAGATATATGCTTCCTGTAAATAGAAAACTAGCAAGTGTGGGTTTGTGTTTTTTATGTGTTCTTCAAAGAACCTTACAAATGCTGGTAGCTAGATATTATAGGGTGAAGACATGGAGAAAGGCTTTGTTGGGACTTAGACTTGGGTTAAAGATGGTTTTCTCTTTCTGTCTGGACATATGCTTTCTTTAGTGAGAAAATTGGTGAGCATGGCGTTTTGTCTTTTCTGTGCTCTTTAAGGACACCTAAAGTGCTTGTTGCTAAATGTTATTGGCTAAGGCATGGGAAGAGGATTTTGTTGGGATTTAAACTTGTGTCAAGGATGGATTTGTGTATAGTTTAGTGAGCACGCTGCATTGACTTGCAGCAGGTATAAGTTTTAAGGGATGTCTAGCACCATTTGTACCAGGCATTACTCCCAAAGCATCTAATGTGGCAAACTCGCTCAATAACTTTTTGGATATAAATTTGCAACCTTGAAACTCAATAGAAAACTACATCAGTCTCCTCCCACCTTTTTGGAAGGGTGAAGCATAGAATTTTTCCTATGCTGGGTATAACAGGTTAGAAAACTCAATAGAATTTTTCCTATGCTGGGTATAATAGTTTAAGTTAATAATATACATCAAGTCTTTGAAGAGCTGGATGCTGTATGGTTGTACCTTAAATCCTAGCCACTGCAGCTGCAGTTGTATTAAATATAAAATAATAAATGCTGTGCAACATTGGAAATCTTGATGTTACATTTGAGTCTGGTTTCTTGTTTATTTCTAGAGTCCAATTAAAAGCCAACTTTTTTTCTTCTTCAGGATGTAATAAGCTATCTTGAAAAGGCTTTTGGAGTAAGCTATATGCTCAATCAAGCTGATGGTGGAAGTACAGGGCAGCAACCAACTTCAAATATTGTAGTGAAGTCCTCATCAATTCCCAATAATTCGTCAGCCTCCGATGACTTTAATCCTGAAGGGACTGCTGCTGGAAATATCTCAGAAGGTTCCTTATCTAGAACACTATCAGATGAAACGATTGAGTATGAGACCTTGCTATCAACACTCGATATAAGCGGGCAGAATATATCCAGGGCATCTCATCTGTCAACTTCAAATGATCTGTTAAGGACACCAGCTGATCGGTCTACACCCACCATTAATTTGAGGTTACAGTTGCCCCTTTACAAGATACAGCTATTGCTCCTCACCAGAAATCTGAAGGCAGCTAAGCGTGAAGTAAAGCTGGCAATGAACATTGCACGTGACATAGATTCTTCTAGGGCTCTACTACTGAAGTCGCAGCTTGAATATGCTCGTGGGAACTACCCTAAAGCTTTCAAACTTTTGAGAGCATCAAATAGTCAATCAGATGTTGGAAGTTCAATTATAATCAACAATAACTTTGGGTGCATCTATTATCAACAGGGGAATCAACACACATCAAGCATATTTTTCCACAAAGCCCTGAGCAATTGTTCATCATTGTGGAAGGAAAAGCCTCGGAAGCTAGCCACATTTTCTCAAGACAAATCTTTTCTCATAGCATATAATTGTGGTGTGCAATACTTGTCCTGTGGTAAACCTGTTCTTGCTGCTCGATTTTTTCTGAAAGCCTGTTTGGTTTTCTACAACAGGCCTCTCCTGTGGCTGCGACTTGCAGAATGCTGCCTTGTGGCGCTGGATAAGGGACTCTTAAAGCGTACTGAGACCCCTAGACATGAATCACAGTTTAAGGTCCAAGTTATTGGGCAAGGGAAATGGAGACATCTTGCCTTTGAGAATGGTTCTTTGAGAAGTGGTTTCACTAATCTTGATGACAGGGAGGATTCGAGTCTTGACAAAAATAGCAAGCCAACGCTATCTCTGTCATTTGCCCGACAGTGTCTTTTTAACGCCCTTCACTTGCTAGGCAATTCTGAGTTGAAGCATATCAAGTCTGCGTCATTGACAAAATCTTCTGCAGAGGAAAGTGAATCTACTGATGTAGTAACAGCAAAGAACTTGGCTCACAAGAACTTGGGAAGCAATGATATGAAGTCTAAAGACACAGCAGGTTCAGGTCAAATGGGTACAAATGGAGATGCAAAAGAACAGAGAGGTGGAGCTCATTCTAATGCAGCTGCAGCAAACACCCTATCTGAGTATGAGGAGATTTGTAAAAGAGAAAACCATAAGCTCAAGCAAGCAATTCTTATTGATTTGGCGTTTGTTGAGCTTGAATTAGGAAATCCACTTAATGCGCTCTCTACAGCTCTAACTCTCCTGAATATACCTGAATGTTCCCGAATGAATGCCTTTTTGGGGCATGTTTATGCAGCTGAGGCCCTTTGCTTGCTGAACAGACCGAAAGAAGCTGCTGAACATCTCTCTACTTATTTAGCCAGTGGAAATGTGGAATTGCCTTACAGTGAAGATGATTGTAGACAGTGGCAGACAAAGAAAACACTGGACGCTGAAGATTCAAATACTGGACAAACTGCTGCTAGGGCTTCTGTGTATGAGGAGCAACAAGATGACGTATTTCTCTCACCAGAGGAAGCCCGGGGAGCACTCTATGTGAACTTAGCATCCATGCATGTCTTACAGGGAGAACTTGAGCAGGCTAGTCGGTATGCAGCTCAAGCTTTGGCGACTCTGCCTGCTAGCCAAGAAGCTGCACTCATGGCAGTTTATTTGGATCTGAAGCTTGCCAAATCTCGAGAAGCTCTCATCAAGTTGAAACGTTGTTGTTGGGTTCAGTTCTTGCCCTTCTCTTCAAGATCAAAAGCCGCTTCTTGATCTTTATTGTTGATTTTCTTCATTTTCCCTCATTTGCACTTAGTCATGTAGTCAATATCGCGGTGCCAGAGATGAAAGGTAGGTAACCCAATCTTTACAAAGTATTTGTAACATAAATATAGTTCGATTCAGAGAATCAATATTTTCATTTTTCCATTTTTCTCATTAACTTTTCCTCCTAGATTTACATGTAGCCGATGTAGGGTCCGAGAGATGGTGTGGCTTGGCCAACGTTTTCTCTTAGGTCAGTGAAATGCCTGCCATAGTGTCATTTAGTCATTTAGATGTGAGCTGTAGTTATTGAATTGTTGATGTTTTAGTGGCTAGTCATTTTTATGTTAATTGAGAAATAGAAAAAGAGCAACATGGAGCTCTTTTCATACAAATTAAGCCAGATATCCTTCTTTCAAGTTCTCTTTTCTTTGAATTCAAATGTGTTTTCTGAACTTTTATTGGAAAAGGTCGGAAATATTCATTGTTGGCTTGTTCAATGCATATAAAGTACGACGTAAGAAGTAAAGGTCATTTATAGTATTCACCGTCAGATATTGAAGTCGATATGTAAGTATCCGATTGATCGAGTATATTGTAGACTGGTTTTATTATTGAGTGTTTCAACTTACAAGTGAAGGGAAACTGAAAACAGAACATAATTAAATTGTGTTCATGTATATATGATCAAATAGTAATTCTCTCATCGTCTTTTGAACAAAATTTCCATCAAACTAGATATCATACGAAGAAAAGAGAAAGCAGTTTAATCAAATAGACTATAACCCTTAGAATCATCGGATTCTTCATTGTCAGATATGTCTTTATTTTCTTTATCCAGAGGATCATTTTCGGATATAACTCCATTTTCTTTATCTTTATCCAGAGGATTGAATATGGCGCCAAGGAAAAATATAGTCACTGACATCTTCTTTGATCATAAAGATAAAGGGATGATCAGCGATGAACCGTGTAATCCGCTTTGGAGGTGGCGGCGACTCAAGACTAAAACCCATATCATCATCTGAGTCATAAGTGCAAGCTATTACTTCTGTGCCTTTCTCATTGCATTCAACTTGAATATGTCGGATGATTCTAGAAACTTTTAGTGAGACGGCGTGGTCATTATCTTCAATCAAACCATCGAGCTCATCGTTGAAATCAAATGGCAATGTTAACCCCAATTCTTGCATATCATCCAAAGGTATAAAATTGTACGAGAGCTTAAACCTTGGAATAGATAAACACGTTATCAACTCGTTCTTCATTTTCAAATGCTGGCTTGTTAGAGGATGAGGGCTCTCTTGAAACTTTTCAATCAATTTTGGTAGCCCTATTCTTGCTTTCGGAAGGATAATGACCATAGAGAATCGCCTTGAGCTCGAGAGATTCTGATCATACTCATGTGAGATCTTATAGGGAATTCTAACAACGTCGTATTCATCAAATGAACCATAGTCATAGAAATTTTCGAAATCCTTCATGAAAGGCACCTCAACGGACCGTTTTCTTTCACCTACAGGGGAAATTCCTCCATTTCCCACTTTCCATTAAAATAGAGTCCATTTGCATGACTTAGGGTTAAATATGGAGAATCAAAGGCTCCATCAAGATAAAGTTTATTATTGAGGCCTTTTGTCTCTTGTTCAACTCATGCATTCACCTCAGCAACTGCTTCATCCTAAAACAAAATTATAGATATCAAAGAGACGTATTTATTGAAAAAAAAAAATCGAAAATAATTCAAGATGCAAATCTATATCTATACTTCGTATTTAAAAACTCAAACCGGTAAAGACAAATGTCCCCATCCGCTATCATCTTTTCCAACCCAATGTGCCACATGTAGTCTTATTTTTTTAATTTTTTTTTTTAATTTTTTTTACAATATCTATATCTTTCTTAACTATTTCATTAAACATTTCATGTTCATCTCCCCTCTTCAATTCAACCCTTCACTTTTCTGTCTTTAATTTTAGTCCCTCCACCTTTTGTTTCAAGCCTCATTTTAAATTAAAGTTCTAAAAATTTAATTTTTAATCATGTTTTCGATTACACATTACACCCATAACGATTATTGGTATTTTTTCACTCATCTCTCAATGCAATTTATATGAACAATCTGTGCATTGCACGGGCGAGATGGCTAGTTTCTTTAATTCTTATTCCATTTTTTTTTGCTAAAATTCTTTTACCTTTACACTAATTACATACATTATGTTTCGGATGAAAACAATGGGACCTTCAATAGGCCCTCTTCAAGGGGGAAGACTAGTCTCAGTCTAAGTGACAGCTGGGCCGAGGGTTTTCTGCATAGCAAACACATGTAAAACTAGCCTCGAGGGTTGTGCCGAGGAAGGCCCCTCCGATGCCGAAGTCAGTACTGTGTTAAAAGAGAGAGAGAATGAGTTATGCAAGAGATTTGGTTGCTTAAGGCTGATTGTGAATGAAATGTAAAATGAAGTCAATGCTAGCTTTTATACCTTTGCTCAATTAAAGGACTTGGGCCCTTGAAGTCAAGTGGGCTTGCCACGTTGACCAGACCTTTGACTGACTTGGCACTGGGCTGGAGAATTGAACCTTGCTTTTGGGCTTTGAATTATATCATTTGATGACTAGGCCCAATAGAGGAGAAATTGGACCCAAACAACTTGCCCCCCAGACTCGATTTGGAAGAGTAACGGATCGGGTTTTGACTTGCAAAATTGGAAGGAAGCAAATGATGATAACTTTAATTAGGAGAAGTTTGAGAGGTTACGGATGTTAATAACCGTTAATTTGGAAATAATTGGAAGAAATGGGGAAGTGGAGAAGATTAGTGGGTCATTAATTGGAGAGGAACACGAACAACCAGTGAGTAAAGTGGGATTAATGGGGTTGTTAGTGGATAACTTCAACTCGTGTACTTATTAGCGGATATGCAGTCTATGAGCGCCAACTTCAATTCCTCTCCTTCTGCCAGGGTCTGGAGCAGACTGTCTTCCCATGGCTTGATGAAGATCATGCTCTGATCCAAGAGTATGGGGCCGAAAGCATTTCAGACTTCAAGGCCCGCATTGAGGAACGAGTGAAGAGGGAAGTTGAGACTCAACGTCTCATGGTTGCGGACTTGGAAGGTCAGATTGCTCGCGCTATTGAAGAGTCCCATATGAAGCAATCTGAATTGGAGGCTGAAATCCAAAAGCTGAGAGACGAGCTGAAGACTCAGAGAGAGGAAGCCTCCAAGGATAAGGCTGAACTTGAAGCTGCTAAAAATTGCTGGAGACTCGGATGTACACCGAGGAAGAGTATGCTGAAGGTTTTGAAAACGACTTCAAGACAACGCGACGTTTGGCTTTTCATGTCGCCCCTGAGATCAATTGGGATCAGGTCGATACCTGGTCTGTAGACCCCGAAGATACCCATATTCAGGAGGCTAGCCTCGCTGAAGTCGCTTTCTTGGCTCGGCAAGCTGAGGCCGAGGCTCAGGATGAGGAGGATGCAAAGAAGGAACAAGATGCTGCTTGCCTTGCTTCGTCCTCCGCTGGCGCCGAGGCTTCTAACGTTCCGAGCACTGGCCCTGGGAATGCTGAAGCATAGGAACTCGGGAAGTCGTCTACGGAATCCTGCGAATCCACATGTGCCTAATTGATTTATGCCGCATCTGCTTTTGCCTCTGTTTTTGCTTTCAGCTTGCCTTGAATTTGTACAAACTTTTTTTTTTGCACTTCGTACTCAGTTCGGCAGTTGTGCTCTCCGCTTTGTGGGCAGCTGCTGATTTTTGAATTTCTTCTTGTTGTTGACATTTGAAATCCTCATCTATGCATATGAAATACTTTTTCAGTTTTCTTCTCTCATTGCCTGCTTTTCTGTTCTTTGTACTTTAGCTGTTTTTCTGAATTTCTTCAAGATTTGGCTAAGTGAAGAACCTCGACTTGGAGATATACTTGGCTGAGAACTTCTTTATCTGAGAGTGCACTGTCTCTATTTGCTTTCCTTTTACCTCACTCTTTTTACTCAGATGTTTCAACTTGTGAAAATTTTTCCCAAGTACTAAGCTTCGGCTAGGAACTTGCTAACCGAGTGCCTCTTGCCCCCCCCCCAGAAATCTGAAGGTGATGTCTTTAGGATTCTGGGATAATTGCTTTGACTTCCCTGGCGCAGCCGAGGGTTTTGCCTTGGTGAAATTTTTGCAATATTCCAGCTTTGAAATTTCTCCTCATTTTTTCTTTTTTTTTTATTTATTTTATTTCATTTTATTTTTTTTATTTTTGTTTTCAGAAGTTCTTATTTATTACTCAAGAGCCATAGACTCTGAGAGCAATACTCTTGTGACCCTTTCAATTAATTCGAGGGAACGACTATCCGAAACACGATGCCGGGGCAACGATCTATCCGAAATACAATGCTTCATCAGGCAATACTTCAGAAATGCAATCATTACCCGAAACTGATTCATCTGAAGTACAATGCTTCATTAGGCAATACTTCGGGGCTTTATAAGTCCGTATTTTTTAGACAGTGTTAAAGATGCGCCTATGGCCTCTTTGCCCGGGGGAACTGGTTTGTTCGAAGTACAAGGCCTCATTAGGCGATACTTCGGGATTTTACCATTTATCCCCGTCTCGGCAGGCTTTGTGGCTTTCCGAAGTACGATGCCTCATTAAGCAATACTTCGGACAGCACCGAACAAAAACCTTGAATATAGAAGACAAAATAAATAGAAACATTGCGGAATTTGAATGAATGGTGGCTCAAAGGCCTTTCATTAATGAAGAGAATGTACTTACATAGATTGTTCTTCCCCGAAGGGCTTTACACATGATATTTTTTTAGTACATCAGCGTTCCAGTGGTTTTTCAACTCAGTTCCATCCAACTGTCGAAGTCGGTATGTTCCTGGTTGAAGCTCATCATATATTTCATAAGGTCCTTCCCAAGTAGCTGAGAGTTTCCTATGAATGCGGCCTTTTTGCACAGCAGCGACATTCCGAAGAACAAGATCCCCATTTTGAGAAGTCTTGCATGGACTTTTCGATTATAAAATTTGCTGATTCTCTGCTTGTATGCAACCTTTTTGTCTCGAGCTGAGTCTCTGATCTCATCAACGAAGTCAAGTGATTCTTTCATGAGTTGCTCATTTTCTTTGGCTTAGAAGAGATTTACTCGGAGACTTTCTGAGCCAATTTCTATTAGAAGGACGGCTTCGGATCCATACACCAATTCAAAAGGTGAATGCCTCGTCGCCTCCTTTTATGTTGTCCGAAGTGACCGGAGAGTTCCTGGGAGTTCATCTATCCACTTGGACTTTTGATCCTTAACCCTCTTCTTGAGAGCGTTAAGGATCTGTTTATTTGCGGCCTCGGCTTGACCATTACTCTGAGGATGACAAACCGCAGAATACGCCAATTTAATGCCGAACTGATCTATGTACCACTTTAGCGACAAGTTATCAAATTGCCTCCCATGATCAAAGGCAAAAACCTTCGGAATTCCGAAGCGAGTGATAATGTTCTGCCAGATGAACATTCTGACTGCTTGCTCTGTAATGTTCGAAGCTGCTTCGGCTTCGATCCATTTGCTGAAATAGTATATGCCGACTATCAACCACCTTTTTTGATATGGAGCATCGGGAAAGGGTCCCAAAATGTCCAATCCCCATTGAGCAAATGGAAGTGGATTCAGGATTAGTTGAAGATCTCGGGATGGCTGATGGATGACTGGTGCAAATTTTTGGCAGTTCTTACACCTTTTGACCAACTCCTTAGCATCTTGAATCATTTTTGGCCAATAGAATCCCGCCCTTAGTGCTTTATGGGCTAAGGTTCTCCCCCCTATGTGGTTCCCGCAGATGCCGAAATGAATTTCCCGAAGGATGTAATCTGCATCTGTTGGACCTACGCACTTCAATAGTGGGGCTGAGAATTATTTCTTCAGGAGCTCCCCTTCGAAAATGATGAACCTTGAACTGATTCTCTTCATCTTAGAGGCTATTGTCTTCGGGAAGTTCTCCCCGAAGTTTATAAGCAAGGATGGGATCCATTCAGCTCGGTTCATGTGCGACGCAACAAACCGCAGGTTCTTGGTCAACACTTCTTTCTCGGTGCACCTCCACATAAACAGATCGGTTCAGCTCGGTTAGAGATGAACTTGCAAGTTTGGAGAGTGCGTCGGCTTGAGTGTTTTGACCTCTTGGGATCAGCTTTACTTCAAAAGTTCTCAGCTTTGCAATTACAGTTTTGATCTTTGCGAGGTAAGAAACCATTGAAGGCTCTTTGGCCTCATATTCTCCTCGGATTTGATTTGCGACAAGCTAAGAGTCCGTCTTCAGACAGACGTGCTCGACTTCCAATGCTATGCACAGCTCTAAACCAGCAATTGCTACTTTATATTCAGCCTCGTTGTTTGAAGCCTTGAATGAGAATTTTAGTGCATACTCAAAGGATTTTCCTTCAGGAGAGGTAATGACTACCCCTGCCCCCGAACCGTTTAAGGTGGAGGATCCA